CCTGTTCGGGATGATCTCGGCGCTGGAGGCGCCAGACGAAGGCACGAATGCCCGCTTTTTGATCAGCCTAGTAGAAGGGATATCCATGGGGCTCAGAGGGGAGTTAGAAGGGCTGTTCGGGCAGTTACGAGAGTATGTAGAAGGCCTGCGCAAGTCGGACGCCAAGGAGTCCCTGTCGGAGTGGAAGGAGTGGGCAAAGTCGTCAGTGCAGCGGGGAGGGAAGGCAGCTCATGCTTATTCCAGGGTCTCTCGCGCAGACAGGACGGTCCCGTTCAGTGTCGTTGACGACCATGGCCGCTTGCCAGTCAACGGTGAGCTTGCGCTCCTCCAGCTTCTCGATCAATGGCTTCCCCTTTGGCACAAAGAAGGCAGGCTCAGCAAAAATCACCCAGCTCATTGGGATGTGTTGGGACATGAATTGCCACCTATATCTTTGGAGCAGTTGAGGCGTGTGTGTAACTCGTATGGGGAAGGGGCTGGTCTTGGGTGGGACTCCTTCCATCCCCGCCAGATCTTGTTTCTTCCAGAGGAATATCAATTGCGTGTTATCGACATCCTTCACTCGTTCGAAGATCGACCTTGTGTGATTGCAGAGTTTTTGACGAATATCATCTTCCTTGACAAGCCAGATGGTGGAGTACGCCCGATAGGATTATTGTGCATGTTCACCAAGATTTGGTCGAAGTGTCGTCAAAACATCTGCCGTACCTGGGAACAGGCCCACGAGCAGGCCTTCTTCTGGGGCGTCGGGGCCACGTCAACCTGCGAGAGAGCAGGATGGGTCCATAACATGCTGGCCCACTTCGGGAAAGTCCTGGGGACCTCGGCGGCGACGGTGCTTCTGGACCTTAAGAAGTTCTATGAGCACATCGACCATATGGACTTGTATCGTGCGGCGTGCCAGCATGTTTTCAATTTGAAGCTCCTGCGAGGGCTGTGCGTGATTTATGCTGGGGATAGGATGCTGCACTATGGAGGGGCGGTATCTAGGAAGGTGCAAGGTAATGGGGCAGTGATTGCAGGGTGCTCAGCAGCTACCACGCTTACGAAGTTGCTTTTGTTATCGCCGCTCGCGGCCGCGCAGTCTGGCCGGCCACAGTTGCGCATCAGAAACGTGATAGACGACATCGCGCTGCAGATTGTTGGTCCGCAGCAGCTCATTGCACCGCAGCTCGCCGCAGGTGTGCAGTCCCTGTTGTCCAGTTTCTCGGAGCTCGAGCTCCCCGTCTCGGAAAAGTCGAAGTACATGACTAGCGACTCGGATTTGAATGAGGCCTTGCAGCCCCTGTGGGACCTCCCGAAGGAAAGCAAGGTGGATCATGCAAGGAACCTCGGCACCGACGCGGTGATGGGGTCCCTACGGAGGGTTCAGATCACTCGGGACAGGTGGGACAAGGCCAGAGGGAGGACGGCTAAGATAAAGAAGCTCAGGGAGGCGGGGGCCAACACGGGGTTCATTCAACGTGGAGGCCCTACAGCGTCGGCTCTATGGGGTCCAGCATCATGGGGATTCCCTCGACCCAACTGCATCGTCTTCGATTGGGAGCTGCTGGAAGTCTCGGGAAGGTCCCCAAGGGCTCCACGGTCGGGCTCCGTCTCCAGAGCTATGCTGAAGGGGTCCGAGTGGACCCGCTGCTGTTGAACGTCGGGATGGTTGTGTTCCAATGGGCGACAGCGGTCTGGGAGTCGTTTCCGAAGCTTCCTGTCCTGGAACGGTGTCTGGAAGGAGCCCTGGGCCGTCTCGAAGGAGTTCAAACACCTTGGAGGTTAGCAGCAGCCCCAGCTGAAGTAGCCGTTCTCAGTCTTCGCAGAATAGGCTGGAGTTTGCGGTCAGGTGCGTGCATGGTCACGGATCGGCAGGAAGCACTAGACCTTCGAGTTTTACCTCCAGCGCTCGTTCAGGAGCTAGCAGTTGCAGGCGCCAGGCGAGCTTCTGATCGGCAAGCTCTTTTTTGTCGTGAGCCCAAAGCCAGGTGGAATATGCCGATATTTTGGGCAGGATCTGAGGGGCTCCTGCATCGGACCAAGGGATCCTGGACGAAAAGGTTTCAGAGGACGTTGAGATCCTTGGTTTCTGGAGGACACTGGCCACAAAGTCGGCTCCACCACCATGGACTTGTCGGCTCAGCGAGGTGTTGTGTATGTGGTGATCCTGAAGGGTCCTTGTGGCACAGGGCCTACGAGTGCCCGAAGCATGCAGGGCTCAGGCGTGAATGGGTTGACGACTTCCACAGGACGAGGGCTCGCAGGGTCCGCGAATGGGGGTACGACGAGGGGAGAGGTTTGCGAGAGGCCTGTTCCCGTCGCCAGAGTTGGTCTTCCCCGTCGCGACCGAGGCCCAAGAGACCATCTTGTGGTACAACAGACTTGAGTCAGGGCTCCTGAGTGGCACGCTGTTCTTAGACGGTTCGGCCTTATGGGCCTCGGCTCCGTTTTTGGCCCGAGCGGGCTGGGCCATCGTGCAGGTAGATAGGTTTGGAAATTTAGTTTCGGCGGCCTACGGGCCCGTCCCATGCAGTGTGTGCCCTAAGCAGAGCTCTAGAGACGCGGAGGATTACGCCGTCTCGATGCTGCGTGTTTGTGCCATGGCGCCCTTCGATGTCTTTATCGACTGTGCAGGCACTGTTGGGACTCTCCGTGGCGGCGCGGGCGCAGGATCCCAAAGCAGTTGTGGTCGGGCCCAGCTCTGGAGTCCGTTCTGGGGAGCGTTCTCGGAAGGGGACTTCCAAGTTTTTAAAACCAAGGCCCATTGCACCAGGGCCCAGGTAGATGCGGGTGCTACCACTGAGTGGGAGTACAGAGGGAACGCCCACGCCGACAGGTTTGCGAAGCTAGGTGCTGCGGAGCACGGCGTGGGTGAGGAGCAGTTTCAGTTGTGGCAAGGCTTTAAGTTTTTAGCCCAAGAATCCGCCCGACGGGCGGCTTGTGTGCACGTTGAGTCCGATGGCCAGGACCACGATGACTTGATGGAAGCGTACTGGAGGTCTCGGGGCTCTGCTGCCGAGGAAGACCCAGAGACCCCAGAGGACCCCGAGCCTGTGCCCCAGGCTTGCAGCAGTGGTGGGGAAGTGGGGTCGTCGTCGCTCGGTGGCTACGGGGTGGGCGACGGGTGGGAAGTGTATGCCGACGCCAGTTTTTGGTGGCGAGGCCACAACCTGCTGGAGGCAGACGTGCTCAGTCGCACCGCCCACGTTTCCTCGGTCGTCTTCTGCTGCCGCTGTGGCACCGTATCCTCGGACGGCAAGCTAACTTCGGGTCTATCGGGGTGGTGCCCCGAGAAGGCCAAAGCTGGAGGTGTGGACCAGCTGCGAAGGATCAAGAAAGGAGAATTCCCCTCTTACCGCGCCAATGTGCGCTCTTTGAAGGTCGGGAGGCCGCACGGAGTGCTGCCAGCGACCCGCTCGAGCCTAGCCGAGGCCGAGCCGAGCCTGCCCCCAGAGCCACAGCCCTCGGCCCCAAGCGTCGGGGCTAGTGGCGGATGGGGGCGGGCTGATCTTGGGGGGCGGGCCGAGGTTCTGAGGGCGTTTGGGCTGTGGGAGGGGGAGCTCGAACTGGTCCGCGACCTCGGCCGCTCGGCCCTGCAGCGGAGCGCGGACAGCCCTGAGGAGGGCGACTCCGACGCCGAGCCATTCTGAATTGGGGCTTGACCCCGCGTTTAGCGCAAACCCATACCATACCATACCTCCTCCTCCCCCTCGTCCTTCTCTTCCTCCTCCATGTCCTCCTCCACATCCTCCTCCTCCTCCTCCTCATCCTCCTCCTTCCCCTCCTTCCCTTCTCCGTCCCGCTCCCCTCATGGCCCCCTACCATGCTCCTTGCCTTCTTCTCTTAGGGCTTCCCTGGCGGCGCCTCCGGCACCGCCCCTGGTGCGGCCCCTGGCGCGCTCGGCGCGCTAGGGAGCGGTGCCCAGCGTCGATTCAAGAAGTCCGCGCATTAGGCTTGTCTGGTAAAGCCAGGGGCTGCCAGGTTGCCGGTTTTTTCGGTATCGTTTTACCGATCCCCATCCAGGCCCACAGCATTCTTGCAACCCAGTTGGGGACACACACACCTCCGAACCCGAAGGGAACGGCCTATATCCTCATCTAGGGGGTCAATCGGCCATTCGGGCCCAGGACACGTGCATGGGGATAGGGGTCGGTTGAACGATGCCCATTTTTCACATGCCGCTGCAGCGGCTCCTTCACCCCCCTCACCCTCCTCGTTCTCTCCCTTATTCCAGAAAGGAGACAGTTTTTTAAATTTGTTTTTGTTGTTTTTTTATCACCTGGCGTCAACGGGCGTGACCGGGGGGGGGGGGGAGGGTGCCGGTCACGTCACGATTCGCGCTGGTGCCGTCTGGGATTCCCCAAGAATGGTTCGTTTTTGGACGGCGTCGGCGCGAATTGCACGTGACCAGGAGGGGGGGGTTGGTGGTGTCGGGCACGAGCGTAGTCGCGAATCATAGAAAAGTGGGTTCAAGGGTTCAGTAAGCCCCCTCCGCCACCCCGCCTGACAGCTCCTTCTGCACCTCCCCACGCGCACCGAACCCATGCCACTGACGCGAGCCAGCTGCCTGACGCAAACAGTACAAAGGACAGTCCGCCACCGCCTCCCGCACGATCCACCCCCCCGGCTTGTTGAGCAGCTCGGAGTGCGGAGTGCCCTCCCTCGCCCCTCCTCCGCCTCCTCGTCGCCCTGCCCCCTCCCCCCCTGATGGGGCCTCCGGTCTCCTTCTCCCCTGAGATCCGACGCTGCCAGAACATGGCAGCACCGCGAAAAATCACGACCGGAGCCCTTGACCCCGTTTTTCCGCGGCACTCTTCGAGCCGGATCGATCCGTGACGGTCCCATGGCCCGAAACCCAGACTCCTGACGTCATGTTTTTTCATGACGTCGACCCCCAGAGGTCTCAACCCATTCCCCGGGCTGGTTTTTCACGGTCCCGAGGCCTGTAAGGGCCCCCAGAGGCTGAAAATAGTGAAAAATCTTTCGTCGTGATTTTTTTATGACTCGAGGGGGTCTGGGAACTGGGGCGAAAATGCCCAGTGTGAAAAAAAAAATTGCGACGCCCGGGCCTCCGGGTCTCCCCGGCCTCCCCGCGCGCGGCCGACCAGTCCGGACGACTGGAGATGCGACTCGACGCCGGTAGCGGACAGCTCGTGCTTCACGGACCTCCTCCTTCGATGAGGAGGCGGAGGAGGAGGAGGAGGAGGAGGAAGAGGAGGAGGATGATGTGGACGAGGAGGAGGGGGAGGAAGAAGAGAAGGAGGAGGAGCAAGAGGAGGAGGGGGAGCAGAACGAGGAGGGGGAGGAGGAGGAGGACCACGGGGAGATCGAGGAGGCAGAGAGCGGGTGGAGGTGCTCGAGTCCGCTCCCTGCTCCCTGCGCGCTCTCCTCCCTCCCAGCTCCGCCTCCTGCTGCTGCCCCTCGGCTCCCGGTCCTGCTCCCTGCGGCGCTGCCCCTGCCCCTGCCCCTGCTGCTGCTGCTGCTGCTGCTCTCCCTCGCCTCCGCCCCTGGCCTCCGCCGCCCGGCTGCAGGGTGCGATGGGGTCGAGCAGGAGAGTGGCTGCAGCAGAAGCGATTTGCCCCAAAGTCGATTTGATTCGCCGAGCCTACAAGCCTTGTGAAAAATAAGCAGACGACTTCTGAATTCGGTGATTGTGGGGTCAGCGCTACTCCAATGCTGACGGATGCCGGTGGACTCGGACGCGGTGTTGTCCAAAAACTGATCCCACCCTCTCAGCATTGAAGAGCGCGCCTTCTGACAAGTGCCCGAAAGCATCGTGCTCCAGGATTTAAACTTCCATTTCTGGATATTTTGGACGAGGCTTGTAGGAAGCATTCGCCGCGGTCTATAATGTATGTTTTTGCGGATTCGGCGAACACATCGATTTTTGGGGGGAGGCGATTCTGTCGTCGATGTCCTGCTCGAAGGGTGGGGGCGGGCTCGCGGCTGGGCCAGGAGACCCCGCTCGCTGCAGCACCTAACGAGGGGCCACGCCGGGGCTCGCGAAAACAGGTCCCGCCGAGCCTCGGGCCCGCCGGATCGCACAACTCCTGCTGCTGCTGCCTTCCGTGACCCGCAGGCGCGCGAATGCCGCCGCTCGACGCCGCCCTCGGAGGGTTCGGCGGCGAGCGGGGTCTCGGCGGTCCCGCGAGGAGGGTTCGGCGGTCGCGCGGGGGCGGTCGCGCGAGAGGGGGCGGTCGCGCGAAGGGGGGGCGGTCGCGTGAGCGACGCCGCACTCAGGAGGGTTCAGCGGCGAGCGAGGAGGAGGCCTTCCCAGAAGGTGGCGGGGCTTTTCGGAAGGCCTCTGGCCCTCTGAAAGGTTTTCTGCGTCTTCGGGGGGGGCCTCAGGAGGCCGGGGGACTTCCGAGCCTTCTGAGAAGGCCTCCTCATTCCCGCTTACCCCCCTCGCTCGCCGCCGAAGGGTGGACCTCGGTCCTCCAGGGGCCGTGCTCTCCTCTTCGACTACACGTAAGAGTGACCCTTAGCCAGGATGGCCTCTGGTGCGGGCCCACCGGGGTGCCCCGATCGCTGAGCGCGGTGCGACAGCAGCGGCCTTTGCGCTTGGGGTTGGCCCCTCCGCAATTCGGGCACCAGGGTCCACTCTTGCCCAGGGCCGCCTTTGCGTGCCGGCGGCCCCTGCCGTTGCCTCTGCTGTGCAGGATTCTCCACCTCGCGCGTGCCGCTGGAGCCCGTGCTTGGGAATACCAAACGGCACCCTGCCCACAGGACCTCTCCCTGGGGTGCGGTCTGACCAATATCTCGAGGCGAATCCAGCGGTGGCGACGAGGGCCCCCCAGGAGGCCCAAAAAGGGGAAAACGAGGGAACGGTAGCGGTATGGGTACCTTTTCCTCCTCCTCCTCCTCCTCCTCCTCCTCCTCTTTCTCCCCCTCCTCCTCCTCCTCCCCCTCCTCCTCCTCCTCTTCCTCCTTCTCCTCCTCCTCCTCTTCCACATCCGCCTGTTCCTCCTCCTCCTCTTCCTCCCGCCTCCCTCTCCTCCTCCTCCTCCTCCTCGCTCCTCCTCTCCTCCCCTCCTCCCCCTCCTCCTCCCTCCACCTCCTCCTCCTCCTCCTCCTCCTCCTCCTCCTCCTCCTCCTCCTCCTCCCCCTCCTCCCCCTCCTTCTCGTCCTCCGCCTCCGCCTCTCTCGTCCTCGTGCTCCTGCTGCTTCTCCTCCAGGAGGGGAAAGATGACAACAAACACCAGATCCTCCTCCTGGCAGTCGTCTTTGATGCCCCCCCGGTCCAAGGACACGCACGTCAGCCTGGACGGGCGCCACGCCGGACGGTTCGTGACGGGCAGGAAGCCGGGCGAGCTGAGGATTATGCCGAAACTCCAGGCGCGGCGTGGCGGAGGAGGAGAAGCAGGATAGCAGCCAAGAGGCCGCGATCTGTAGCCCTGCTTCGACTGACGATTACGTTTTTTTGTTTTGCTTCTCTCCAGGTGGTCAAGGCGTCGATGTGCAGGCTGGGAGGGGCAGGTCAGGGCGCGCGGTTAGCACGTGCTCGGCAAAGGCCATTGCCCAGTCCGCCTACGCGGCGACCCCTCTCCGCGGGCGGACGCCCCCTCCAAGGAGGCCGCTGGGCCAGGCCATTGTCGGGCACACCGCGCGTTGGCCTTGGGCCCTGGAGAGAGCATGACCGCAGGCGGCAGCCTGAGCCGCACGCGGTCAGTAGGCCTCCCGTCCGCGTGGCCCCGCGCGTGGGCCCCGCGGCACTGGGTGGTGTGACTGCCTCGAGGGCGCGCGAAGGAGGAAGACATAAAGGACGGAAGGGAGGGATGGGGGAGGAGGGGGATGAGGAGGAGGGCCAGTGTAAACCCAAGAGTCATCAACGATGTCGGAATAAACCCTTCCTCCAAGCTCCCTCTTCATAAGCCCCTGCAACGGTTCATCTCCATTGAGGGAACTGCCCCGTTGGAAGACATCCGTTTGAAGACTCTGAAGCATGCCAAAACTTGATTCTTGGGACTCTAGCGCCACGAATCAACTTGACTGTTGCATTTTGACGATCCTGAATCGTGCCAGAATTCCATTCTTGGGGCATCAACTCCGCGAAAAAACGTGAATGTTGCACCCTCATAATCCTGAGTCTTTCCCGAACACAATTTCTGGTATTTTGGTCATGGGAACATGTGACATTCCTGTGGTGTTGGGTCCTCCTTTTGAAGAGACCGTCCCGCGTTCTCCTCCTCCCCTCTCCTTCCTCCCCCTCCTCCCTCCTCCCTGCGTTTCATCCAACCAGTACAGCGGTTCGTGGCCCCATAAGGGGGCTCCACCGAAGCCCCCAGTGCGACCGCCCGCATGCGTCCAACACACCCAATTTGGCATTTCCACCCACCCAGTACATCGTTTCGTGGCCCCATAGGTAGCTCCACCGAAGCCCCCAGCGGGACCGCCCGCATGCGTCCCACACACACACACACACAGTTTGGCATTTTCACACACCCAGTACTAATAGTAGTAGTGGCCGTCGTGGTGGTAGTGGTAGTGGTAGTGGTAGTGGTAGTGGTAGTGGTAGTGGTAGTGGTAGTGGTAGTGGTAGTGGTAGTGGTAGTGGTAGTGGTAGTGGTAGTGGGAGTGGTAGTGGTAGTGGTAGTGGTAGTGGTAGTGGTAGTGGTAGTGGTAGTGGTAGTGGTAGTGGTAGTGGTAGTGGTAGTGGTAGTGGTAGTGGTAGTGTTAGTGGTAGTGTTAGTGGTAGTGGTAGTGGTAGTGGTAGTGGTAGTGGTAGTGGTAGTGGTAGTGGTAGTGGTAGTGGTA